TTTGAAACAAAAAAATGTAACAATTTGAAAAAATCAATTTGAAAAAAGAAAAAAAAATTGTTTATTAACAATAATTAATTATTAATAAACAATTAAACAATGTTTAGTTCACTATATCGATTCAGTAGATCAATATCTGTAATTGAAAGAATAGCGTTAAAATCCTAGCTTTTTGGCGGCAGTTATAAGCGATTTCATCAAAAGTTGCTAGTAAGAGAGGAAAAAAGAAGCGTTCGTACTCAAAAAAAAAAAATCATTATTCGAAAAATTCGAATTTCTGAGCAAAAAAAAAAAATACGCGTCTCCTTAAATTGTTCAAGGAACAATCCCTGTGAGTTTTATCGCAAACTTAAATTCACTTTCCCTCGGCCTGGGTTATTTGAGATGGAAAGACCCATAAGTATGTAGATATCTATGTGTGTAAATTCCTACGCGCCTTATACATATGTGTATGTACAGCTCAAATTTTGTTTAAATTCAAATAATTCAAATGAAATCACAAAAGCTACCAAAAGCTGACTTTGAGCTGATCGCATTAACTATTTTCAGCATTAGCATTTAGAATTAGTCAGCTTTCGCATTGCTAAACGCGCAATTCAGCATAAAAAAATTGTATTCTCTAAGGAAGTATTTTCGTTTCATGCTTACAACATCGAATTCGTACATTAATTAACACTAACGAGATGACCTACAAATTAAGCCTTTCATGTGGAGAAAAGGTAAAAGTAACGCAATCCGTTAGATTGTGAATAGCGTGGCAGGCATAGCAGACAAACTGATTGCATTCAAAGAGGTTAATTAGATGAAAGAGTAAACTGGAGGTCCATAATCTTATGAAAGCATGCAACCCAGCCGGCAAAATACCCGGAAAATTATCCGAAACAACTTTAGCTCGATGCATGTTTGTCAACAAAATTCCTTTTTTAGAAAAAGTTTGGCTACACATTTCACATTTAAGTATAAGTATATACGTTTCATCGTTATTGTGGCAGTTTAATGCACAAACGAAAAACATTTTCTGAGCAAATTTCCTGATTTTACACTTAAGCTAGTTTCTAGAGAGAGCACTGGGTCCGTTCTGTTGGGGGCCCAGTCAGCATTGCTTCTTTTTCTGACCGTTAAATCAGCCACGGAACTAATGCCACCTTTTATCTCTTTATAGGGACTGAGCTATTCGCTTTTGTTCGAGCATGTTCTATGTCCCCTTTAAACTCGACATTTGAACAGCTGCGATTCGAACCGGTACTTTACCATAAGTAGGGGTTTATATTTAGTAGAAAAAATACGAATTATACTTTTCTTGAATTATCTTCGTGATATTGTTTTGCAGCAGTTACCATAGTTCCACATAAACGCTTTTACAGAAAAAGGCCTTTCCACTTGCTTGCGAATCATTGCAAATTTAGGATAATAAGGATGCTAAACTTTGCCTTTAAATAGCGGAATAAGAGGTACGTAGGACACAGCTTTATAACCGAAATTTTGTAGCCAAGGATCCAAGGAGCGACTAGGCGCGACAATTAAACAAAGTTAGTACTATTTGAAATTTTTGCTAAAAATAAATCGTCACCTAAGGGTGCAAAAAGGCGCCAAGCCCATTTTTTTAAATTGTACAGGTGGGATGAAAAATCTATCACCTGCCATTCTGCAACAAAAACTAAATTTTGAAAAAAGTTGACTTGGCACCTTCTCACAAATATCTCAATATGCATTATTTCAATTGATTCTAAAGAATATACTACTATACAAAACAAATCATGAAAGCATAACTCAAAGTTATAGAAAATGCTTTATTCTTTCATATTGAATTTTTTTTTAAGATTGCAAGTGCAGCTATTGAAAGCGCAGAGAAAAAATTTCATGATAATGGCTAGGTTCTATATGAAGTATGTCAAAGTTCAAGTAGCGGTGACGACTTTTATGACTACAGCTGATAGGTGGGTTATATAAAGACACTTTATCGAAGTTCATACTAAGAATACTCCTCTCTGCGATGTCTCAAGCTTCATAAGCGAACACTCTCTCGAGGTAATCAACACTTGTCTTCAAACCTTCGGTACTTCCCCAAACTTTATAGAACACTTTTCAGGTTATTTTGCTCATCCAGCATTTCAAGTTTTTCGGACTCACATATCACAGTCTCTCTTTCTATTATAGAAAATAAAGCAATGCAATTAATAAACATAGAAGAAGAGATTGCGGTTATTTCTACATACTTAAAAACAAAAAAAAACACACACAATTGACACTCTTGCAGCAAAGGTGCAATTTTTTTTTCTCTGCAGCGACACTTAGTGAGAAAATACAGCGGCATATTTTTCAAATCTCAACCGATTCCTATAATTATTTATCGGTCATTATTAATTTTATTTTTAGGAGGTGCTACGGCTTTTTTGAACAGTCGTAAAAAAAATCTCACATTTACTGTAGTTGGCCTTAGATGTAGTAGAATATATCGGTACATGAGTGGAAGATCGACCTATCTCGGCAGCCAGTTCGAAAACGCCTTGTCTTAGAAAACTTCTCAAGAACGCCCTACTTCAGAATTTGATGGAAGAACGCCCTATCTCAGCTGCTGATTCAAAAACGCCCTATCTCAGCACATTTTCATTGTATTTTCAACTGAGATAGGGCGTTTTTGAACCGAATTTTGAGATAGGGTGTTTTTCAATAAAATTCTGAAACAGGGCGTTCTTTAATCAAATCCTGAAGTCGGGCGATCTTTCATTCTAGAGTTTTTGTAGGAAATTGAATGTCCTACAAGTTTGTCATTTATATTTTTTCTGTCGCGCTTGTTATTTACGAGATGGGGGCAAAAAACGAGAATTTCATGAAAAAAGTTTTATCCATAAATTATTAATTGGTATTTTTAATCATGAAATATATCTGGAACAAACAATATTTCAGTTCAGAAATATTTATATATCGTATTATGTTTGACTTTCAGTTTATATTTTCACATATACTTTTAATATTATACCTTTGACACACAGTCACACAGTGATCAGTGTCAGACCAAAGGCTCTACACAAAGTGCCTTGTAAAACTTTTCATTGTTTTAAAAACTCATCTTGTAGACTGCCATATAATCCTTATAAATCAACCAATATAAAATTTATAAACTAATAATAGAGCAACAGTTTGGAAGAAGCCCTACCTTCTGGGGCCCTTTTGGTCTCATACAAGGTTTATGGACTATTTTTTAAGAGCTCAATAGCAGAGTATTTGCTTTTCAGTTTTGCGCTAATAAACTATAATAAATCTTTTAGAAAATTGTTTGTGTTATCTGGGATGTATTAGTAACAAGAAGAAAAATACCTTTCCAAAAGTTTTAATAAAACAAATTACGATACGTACATACACATGTATGGTGGAAAATGCAAATGAAATTTTCTCTCAGGTAAATTTTAAATTTATTAAAAGGATGAGAAAGTTTCCTACAAGTACCGAGTATTTTGAGTTGGTAGTTCTTCAGGGCTTTAAAAAAAACAATATAGTATATAAATATTCATGCTATATGTCAAGGAGTGCTTTGGAGTCTATTTTATATTATTTTTACATTATATACATATGTGTTTTATATGCAATTTTTGACTATATAAACATGTATTGAACATTTAATTACAAATTCATATCTATCGCCTCGTTGGTATATATATGTACATATATGTAAGCATAAAACAGTTGATTTTATTGCTCAACAACTTAAATAAACAACCATTTCTCCGATTTTTTCCTTCGCCACACCCACCACACCGACTCCTTCCGACCACCAACAGTACCACCAAAATTGAGTCCTTTTCAGACATCTATTCTACAGCTGAATATGGGTGATCGGGCATCACTAACCTGCTCGGTGGTGAAGGGTGACTTACCACTAACCATAACCTGGCGTAAAGACAACAGGCCCATCGATCCGACACAGCATATGTCCGTAAAGCAGGTGGATCAGTATAATAGCATATTGGTAATAGAAAATCTTGGCTCCGACCATACAGGCAACTATTCGTGCGTGGTGCGAAATTCTGCGGCGGAGGTGGAGAATTCGCAGTCGTTGCTGGTTAATGGTAAACACATGGATTAGCGATGTAAAGCGTGCAAAGTGACGCTGTCTAAAAAATCTGTAGATTTTTAATTTATTTTATTTTTGTTTGGTTCTTTTGGCAATTGTAATATTTTTACACCATTTTTGTTGTACAATTGTTTTTGATTTTCACAACGTTTGTTGTAATTGTACAGCGTATATATAAACAAACGTATATGTATGTATTTATGTACGGATATAATAATATAGATATACATATATATATATACATATATTTTAAAGTAGTAGTTTTGAACGATTTTTGATTTTGCCCGTTTTGTATGTTTCCTTCTCTTAATATTAGGGAATGCATTTTGTGTAAAAACAGAAATTTGTATGTAATTTACAACAGAATTTGTTGAAGATTATTTTTTATGTTCATAGAATGCGTTTTATTCATTTACAAAGAACAAAAATACGAATAAGTTGGCTAAATATTTTTTATTCATTATAAAAATATGCAAGTATTTGTTAATGAAATTACCTGAAAAATGTTTGAAATTAAAAATTTTATTTCCTCTTTGGAATGCTTAAAAATTGTAGTGTTACTCATAGTAGAATCGAAAATACATATAATAAAATCATATAAAAACTGCGAAGGTTTAATTTTACATATTTTTGAAAAATAAAATAAAAAATTAAAGTAGAAAATAAGAAGCCATATAACATTTTCAGCTAAATAACGCATAAAAGCTACGCACTCGCAAGTGTCTACGAAAATCTCCAGCAATATCACTTCGTCTTCTTCAACGTCGTTGGTCCATCGTAATTCCACGCTGGTTCATTTTCACTTCCTTTCAGAAATGCTACTCTACGTTCCCCGTTCTTTGTCCATGTTAACGCCTATTTTGTACAATAAAAATATTATTTTGAATATTTAAATTTCATAATCGATATTCTTGTGTATTACTTACAGTCCCACCCATAATAGAACCGTTCGTGTTTCAAGATGGCCTTGCCGAGGGTATGCGCACGCGCACAGTATGCGGTGTATCGCGCGGTGATCCGCCGCTCAAATTGATCTGGCTCAAGGATGGCGAACCGTTGCCCGAATTATTGGGCGCCAATGTCACAATGCTCGATCAATATTCATCTTTGCTGAGCATACCTTCGCTGTCGGCTACGCATACCGGCGAATATACGTGTGTGGCAAAAAATCCGGCTGCGGAAATCAAATACACTGCCGTATTGCAGGTCAAAGGTATAGTATGAAGGTGCTCTCCGCTTGAACATAACAAACAGCAGCAATTTGATTATGCTTGTTTAAGAGAAATAAGGATTTTGTTTTAAAAAAGTTTCACACAAAATTAAGTATTATACATTTCTACAGATCCTTAGTACAAACATTAAGTGATTCAAATGTATGTCCCTAGAAGCACAAACAAATAAAAACAAGGTTAAAAATATTAAAACAGTATATAAAAAAATTCATCAAAAAAGATACCGAAAAATATTGTATGCGAACGTGAGCGATTCGTTTAAAAATCAACATCTATATATATACATTAGTTTCATCTGCCTGAAACCGGTCTTACATTGGCGCATATGCTCAATACCTCCAAATCCGTAAAATGCTAGCCTCATTTTCTTTTCACGGAAAAGGAAGAATGGACAGAGTACTCAAACGATTTCTGCGCGTAGTCAAGATAAACTTCTATAAAAAAGGCAATTAAATGCGGGTAGTCTTGGTGCCAACCTTTCAAGAAACACACACCCAAATAAAGCTAGACAAAAGACCAGGGCCCGATCTGGACTTGAAAAAATTCATGGACAGAAACTCGGGCATCAAACCCCAGCCGGCCATTTCGATGGGTTAAGTCATTGCCTAAGCCTTTCTATCCATAAGTGAGCCTGCCTGGTAGAAAACGCTCGAGGTTCTACTAAGTATACCTTCTCCGCATATTTGCAACAAGACTCATCTCAGTTGAAAACACAAAAGCGACAAAGCTGATACGCCCTTCGCTCTCCACTTTGCTATCGTAGTGCCAGTTTTGTGTATGAGTGATGTCCGTAGGTTAAAGTTAAATACAGTTTTGATTTGGAAGCGGAACGAGCTGAAACATGAAAGGAAAGTTCTGTATGGCATATTGGCGTGATGGCTCCAAAACTGACCATGACATGCGCGCATAGGATCATGGCTCAAAAAAAGCTGCGGAGTCTTACGTCAGAGAACTACATACATTTGGGGCAATGAGGTAACGAAAAAATCGAATAAATATTCATATTTACCTACACTCAAACAGAAGGGCGGCACCCCTCACCTCTAAAGCTAATAAAGTTGCCAGCAAACCGTTGTAGGACAGTCTTCAACTGTCAACAGGCATCGTTTATGAATTAGGATATAGCTCATTTAAGTCCCAGGTGGACATAGGTGAACAATTTACTGGAAGGTATGTACTAGGGATGTTAATTTTTCCGCTTTTTGCGATCCCGGGATTTTCGAAATGTGGTTATCACAATCCCGGGATTCCGGGATTAGTCCCAGGATTTAGATATTCATTACTTTTCTACAACTTAAATCAAAAAAATTGCTTCTATCTCTCCTACCATAAAATAAATAATAAATAACCTACTTTTTTATTTAAAGCGGCGTTTTTATTTTTTCTCTCTGACGTCAGGATTTATTTTAAAGGACTTTGTAATTTAAAGATATGATTAATTCCAAAAATTATTTCAAAAATTCAAAGCAATGTAGAATAAAAATATGGGTACCAGGGTGAAATTTCTTTAGAATTTAAAGAATTAAAATTTTTTGGATTCACAGGAACGAATAGGTAATTTTTTAAGCTTATAAAGTTAGCAAATATTGCGCAAATATTGCGAATATTCAAGGATACAATTTTTAAAGGACATTTTCAATACAATGTACCAAAAAATTTAGTCTGATTAAATTCTACCGAATTCCCCCTTTAATTTGATAACCATCCTTCTCCTCTAAGCAAATTTCACTGAATTTTTTAAATCATTTTTCGATTACTGACGTCTGAGTGAAAAACTGAGAAAGCAATTTTACTATATTTGGCTCATGGTTTCGCGAATGTATTGATTTTTGTGTATAAAATTTACTATCGCACAGTGTTATATGTATAATGAGCTAGACAATATAGCCAATACTGGTCAAGGAAATAAAGTTTCTATTATTGCCATCAGTACAAATTGCAAATCCCGAAAATCCCGGGATTATTTGCCAAGAATCCCGGGATTTTTGGGAGCTAAAAAAGGCCGGGATCCCGGGATTAACATTACTAGTATGTACCCTGGTCAGAATAAGAGCAGCCCAGAGATTTATAGGACGTACCCTTTATAAGCTAGATTCACACATAGCTGATAAGAGAGAGAGAGGGACCAAAACACTCATTCCATTAATATCCGACATTTCTAAGAGCACCTTACCCGAATGCACGTGATAATCCTGGTATGTGTAACTTTCTTCCTCGAGTATAAATTACAAAATCTAATATTTGGTCAAAACAAGGTTGGTAAAAACCTGTTTTGCAAATAAATTTAATTAAATATCTACTATCGGCTCTTTAAGACTGTTTTTTTTTTATCCAATGTAGTTATAACCAGTAATCTTTAAGCAAAAAAAAACAAAACCGACTACAATTCCTATATAAAAATTTAAGAGTACTGTTAATTTCTTCATGACTTCTGACGTACCACCTTTCCTTTAACAAAAATAATCATAAAAATCGGTTAACGTAGTCCTAAATTATGCGGCAACATACATAAAAAAAAATATTCCGGCGAAGTGATAACCTCCTCCTTTTTTTGAAGTTAAAAATATGAAGGTTAAAAATATGAAATAAGTGGAAAAATATGAAATTGTCCCAAAAAAAGATTTGGAATCTAAACAAATTGGGTATCTTGAATTTTACTCTACCTGTTAGACCCATAACGTATACAACCATAGATGGAGATAACATTTAAATACTTTCTCGTTGTGATTCTGTAAAAAATTTGTTAGTCTAGACAAATCAAACTTTTCTGCTTATACCACAGAAACATCCAGAATCTTTGCACACTTGTTATAAATATGTCTGTCTATTATATATACCGCCACCTCACTCGACAAAACTAGGACTAGTGCTTAATGAAATGCACCTAATATGCAATGAAGACAATGCCAAGGGCACACTTTAGCACCTTCTGTGTCACTCTCCAACATTCTGAAGATCGCATTTGGTTAACTTTCTCCTTTTTTGAGGATACAGCTGACCTAAAGGACAACAAAATAACGTACATTTGCACAACGGTGCATCACGAAGAGGAACTATATACGTTTGTATATAGCATCGTCATGCTTCGTTGCCAAGGGATTATTAGTCCTATATGATTAAAATTTTTTAAACTTTTTTAAAAAAATTCAGCAATTAACCCTTATTTTTTTATTGATATTTTTTTCAATCAAAAATTACGGTTAAATTTAGCTTTTATTTTCCCGTCAAAAATATAAGTTAAGTTTAACCTTAATTTTTTCGGTAAAAAATAAAATTTTAAATTTTAAATTATACGTAATAAAACATTTTTAACTTAAATGGTTATAATCAAGTAAATAAGCAATAAAGTTCTAACTTTTATATTTTATCGAAAAACCTAAGGTCATATTTAAAATTTTTTCTTTGACTGAAAAAATAAAATATAAATTTTAACTTTGAAATTTCACTTTTATTTTTTACTGAACAAATAAAAATCAACTTAGAACTTTTAAATTTGGGTAAAAAATAAAAGTCAAATTTTTACTACATTACTACAAGAATAACCTTAATGGGCATTTCAAAGATGAAGGGTCGAAAGAAAATATTTAACCTACATCTAATATCTTTTTTGATGAATTTTCTTAAATTATAAATTCAACAAAAGCCATAACTTAAATGTCAGCACACATACATACTTATTATCAGAAAGACACACATATTTAACACAGCCTTTTACCACAAAAATACATCTAATCACCTACATATATATTTATGTATGTATCTATGTATATCTAAGCACACATTAGCACACCTATCAAAAGTAGGAGACAATTAAAAATGTAACTAAAATTTAATAAAGTTACCACAAAAAATAATTCAAATAATCTTTTTACTTTCATAATTTTTAAGTACTACTTCTTTTTGAGTTGAGTACTAAAATCGCTTCTTAAACTTTGAGTTGTTACTTTTATAAAAATACAAAAAATTTTACAAATAGGTTTCTTAGATAAATAAAGAACAAATGGATAAAACATGTTAGGTAATAAATTCGTAAAAATTTAAGAATATACAACCAACAATTTATAAGTACATACGAAACTGAAATTTCAAAACCCCTTTGACATCCCCCTTAACCAATATCCATCCTCAAGTCGCTTTGGCACGCTGTGGGTTTTTGTACGGCAGATCACCAGGTAACCTAACTGTTGCACTGCTTCAAATGCTTCTTACATTTTTATTTCAAACTGCTATTTATTTTAATATGCCATTAATATAGATATTTTGTACTAGTGTATGTTGTTGCGATTAATATAAATATGCAATAAAAAAAAACAGATTAGGGTTTGCATATTTACGATAAAAAAAAGTATCGCATCACGGCTTCGCATATCCTTTGAGCATATCTAATATTTCAATCGCAACCACAGGCACATAAAGCTTTGCTTCATTTTAATACAGCAAAAAAAAAACAAGAAAGCCAACACGGACTAACAACCGCTTACGATCGATGTAGCATTTTCGTCGTTCAACTCCGTGGAGCTTTTTGTGAGTTAAACGGCTGAACCTGCACACCTGCTGTACCTCTGTACCTGCTATACGCTCCTCTGTACTGCTTATAAGGCTCTCTCTGCATACTTGTGCTGCATACATACATCTGCAAACAACTATCTGCTTACGCTTTAAATCCACGAAAACAAAAAATTATAAAAAAAATTCGCATATCTTTTTAAGCCCCGCTTTTTTTTTGGTAGTGTGCGAGAACTGTCATGTGGCCATCGCGCTCATCCTACGCTGTGTATTATTTATATATTTTTTTATATTTTTACTATGTGTATGGCTGTCATGCTGTGGTGGGATAGAACGAGAAATAAAATTTTTAAGCTTACTAACAACTTCGACATACATATATCCTGCTTAAATTTCGCGCTCAACTAACCGGCATTTGTTGCGCTGTATTTATGATTTAAAGCTTCGCAGTATTTGTAAACTTATTATTCATACA